TTGATCATTGTCTTAAATTGATTGCAATAGCTTGTTGCTCTTTGAGGCTAGAATAACCTAACGTGTTCACACTACACCTTAGTTTATTAGAGAAGTTTAATAACCAATTAATACATTATATTCTCACCAAACTTATATTCTCATGTTGGGGGAAAAAAAAAGAAGCGAAGTTCGTAGTGCAAAAACCATTTATAGAATAAATACTATGATATGAATTATTCCTTAATTAAATTGCATGAAGTTCCGAATAATTATAAGTTGATCCTTAATTGTATTATATAAATATTCTCCACCGCTTAACCCAAAGTCAATCACATAACAAAATACAAGAGAGATGAAACAAATTATTATTAAAGAAGCATTGAACTTTCAAAATCAATTCTGCAATTCACGCCGATTTATACCTTATAAGAGAAGCAATAACATAAGTTGCAAAATCAAATTTGAGGAAATATAACTATTGGTTCCTGTGTATGGTTTTAATGCTTTTTGTTATTGATCTTTATATTTTTTATTATTCTAGGTTCCTATAGTTTTTCTCATCTATAATATTAGTCCCTCTATTTTAAAATAAACCTAGAGGAATGATGATATAGTACTAATGATGTTAAATTATTTGATGTACAAGTAATGTCATTTCACTGTTTGTAAAAAAAGATTAAGTTTTATTTTGATCATTTTTACCGACTTCAAACTCATCTCTTTACCTTTGCTTTGGTTTCATTCGTCATCCCAAGATACTCCTTTTTTTCTGATTTTGAAGCCATTGATTTTTTTTTTTGTTAATGTTAACGTTGAAGTTTATTTTGTATTCATGTAGTCCAGCATATTTTTTAGTTTCTTCCAACTGATACTCATTATTTTATAATTTGTGATTGCTCTCTCTTTTTTTATTTTTAACATTCAACACAAATTTAACACCATTAATTAAACATTAAATAATTTTACACCACATCATCATCCTTTTGACATATATATTTAAAAATAGAGCGACATGTTAGAGATGCAAAAAAACTATACGAACTTGAAACAACAAAAACCTAATACAAGAACCAGTAATCAATTAAAACATGATAAAACTAGAGGATCAATAGTTGTGTTTTCTCATAAGATTATCAGAACAAAGCTTGATTTACCATTATCATTTTAAGATTAATTCAAATGAATATGAGAAAGGAACTTGGTCAAGACTCTGTATTGTAATTTTCTTTTATCTGTTAGTTGATTGATCTTTTATCCAACAAAAAAAAAAAATCAATATGAGAAACGAGCAGAACTTGTGTGTGTATACTATGTATATGTTATTAGTACAAATGCTAGAACTAGCCATCAGTTAAGTTATCCAAGGCAACGTAACAATTAATAGTGTGTGCGCGTGTGTGTAACGAATTCATTCAATTAGGATCACATAAGTATTTCGAAAGAAAAATTGCAAATCTGCAATCGAGCTTCAAGAATCGTCAATGAATATTTCTGCAGAATATTTTTTTTAAAACTTAATTGGAGATTTTGGAAAACAAGCTTCAGGAATTGGTCAATTTTTTTAAAAATTCTCACCCTTTTGGTCTATTTGTACAATTTTCCCATGTTTTCACCCAAAGAAACTACAAACTAGCTCCTATTTAACTCTTGCGTTATATATTTAACCTTGAATTTTAAGCTGAATGATTCAAGAATTAAGCTGGGAAGAGAAATGTATAAATGAAAAAAGAAAAAAAATGAAAAATCACATATAGATCAGAGTTCATCCCCACATAATTTAATTTTATTCTTTTAAAAAAAGAATAATATCATTTATTTTTAATCAAAACAAATTGGTGGCTTGGTGCTGATATTTTTTTTTATTGAATTCTACCGATATGTTTATTAAGGTATATGATTTCACTTTTATATTTTTGATCATTATTGAAATTGTGCAGTTATCCATTTATTTTTTAAATTAGGATATGTGATTTAACTTTCATATTTTAATTTGGATATATGATTTAACTTTCAGATTTTTTTTATCCATTAATAGTCCTATTTATCATCTTTTAATTAAAAAAAAGGTAATGAATTAGGGCCGTCTATTTAAACGTTAATTTAATTATTATTATTATTATTGGCCAGAATTAATTTTTATTTTTTAAAAGTAATGTATTATTCAAAAATTTCATGAAAAAAGAATTTATTTTACATTTTATTATAATTATGAAAAACACTTTGTACTTAAAATTATTTTTAAATGTAATTAGAAGTTACTTAAAGGATAAATATGCATTTTTGCTATTAAAGTACTGTCTGAGAAACATCTAGCACAATAAGCTATTTGTTAAAATAATTAAAACATAACATTTTCTATCCTAAAGTTAGATAATAGAGGTTGACTATTAATATGATGTAAGAGAAGGTAATTTGACTCTCAAAGGATGGAAAATGCTACCTTTTAGTTATTTTAAAAACAAAAATGCTATATCAAATAGTTTAGATTGTTGGGTGTTTTTCAGAGAATATTTCAAAGACAAAAATGTATATCTACCCTTACTTAAAATGCTCCTAAAAAAACTCATTTAAGAATTTTAGATTCTAATAGCTTAAACAAACCTTCTAAAAATTGTCAAAAGCGTAAAAGAAAGGTAATTTTTTAAAAAGAAAAAACAAATTGCACTTAATTTGTAAAAGATCTGAAATTATTGCTATGAACTAGTGAGGTACCATTTTTGCTAGGAATTGGGATATGCCCATGTTTCCTAGTTCCTACCTATTGGGGTGACTTCCGGTTTATTTTAAAAAAGTTCTTTAAAAAAAAAAAACATCTGCAACATGATATCTACTTTATGGATAGTAATATTTATTTGTAATCATGACTTTAATCTTTAATAAATAATATTTGCGTATCATTATATATTTATATTCTCTAAATATTCCCATATATTCAGCTCTTTATACAAAATTAAATATTATTAATTTTGTTATGTATATTTCCACCCCCTTAATAATAGTATCTTAAATCTTTTGAATTTTAAAAATTGCAAAGACAGCAATTTGCATATGTTATTGAATAACAATAATCAAAACTAACTAATTAACTTGATTGTACAATATCAAGATAAGTTTCTTTGCAATCTTTCCGCTTGCCTTTACATGCCCAACCAACGTGGCATCATTAACAAACTTAAGAGTTTTCATTTCAGGGGATGATATATATATATATATATATATCTCAAGACAACCAATAAAATTAATAAAAAAAGAGTCCAAAACTATAATTGTTGTTCAGTAGTCCATGGCTAGTTTTGCTACTGGTATTTAAGTAATCTCTATTTTAGTGGTTAGCTTTTAGTCTATATATCTAAAAATAAAGAAGGATTTTTATGAATTTAAATTACGTATCAGTATATCAGGTTACCCTGTTTTATAATTCAGTATATCAGGTTTCTATCTATATAAACAATATCTACTCATAATCATAATTTCAATGTCAATTTAATATATTTTCATATTATGTCATTGGGAGTTATTTATTAGCTTCCCTCCTCTTCTATTTTCCAAAACTAAAGGAAACTTTTTTATAAGATTTGGGTGACTAAAAAGCTCATTTATGAAAACGAAATAAAATAACTTTATATTTAAATTAGTGTAGATTTGGATTTGGACCACATCTATTGTTAGGATATATAAAAATGTATAGACTTGTATTTGATTTGAATTCAAGAATTTTTTTTATTACAATTTTTTTAGAATTTTAAAAGCTCAATATACTCTGGTGATTTTAAATTTCAACCTTTCTCCTCATCGTCTTTCTGTCTTACCTTCCCCTTTTCGTTGTTTCTATTCCTCTATTTTGTGTTAAACCAGTCTCTTCCACATGCCAAAAGTTCGAATCGAAACAACAATTATTAAAATTTGAAATTTGAAATATTGTATATTACTCAAATTTAAAATCTAAATAATAATAATTATTTTCTTAGTTTTTATCATCATTAAGTACAAATGTGTACTCATCTATTCTTTAAATAATAAATAATCCCAATAATAATTTAGGAAGGATTTGAAACGAAAAAAATCTTGGAATATATATTAATACTATAATTAATTAATAATTATCAACAGTATATATTTTTTATGGAATCCCTATAAATAAAGTTGATTTATAGTTATTAAAAAAAATAAAATGTGTGTGTATTTTTAAAACTTAATAGTCAAATACATCATTAGACATCTATCTATTTTTAAATCCTTCCCTCTACTTTTCAAGATTGTTAAAATTTTAAATTTCTTTCCCAGATAAATTTAGTTTCCTTTTTTCTCTCTTAAAGTTTATGGTAATATTCTTGCTAATACTACATTAAAAAATATGACATATTTGCAGAAAAAGTGGGATTTAATGTGGATAAAGGCTTAGAGTTCAAACCCCTTGATACAACAAAATATGACATATTTATTAAACAATATCTTAAATAATTATGTATAGTAATATTTAAATGAATATTCGAAATATAAAATTAAAAATTAGTAAAATTTCAGTAAAATACGAAAATTAGAGGTTGAAAAGTTAACAAATATTGAAAATATCACTCAGTGAACATTTACGTTAATAAAATATATTTTCGTCAAAAAAAAAGATAAAATTGATGAGTAAAAGACAGTTTAATAATTGTACGTACAAGATGGTCAAAATGAAAGAAATATTTTTATAACTAAATATATGATTTCACAAAAAGTCTGCATAATTTTATGAGAAGTGAAGGATTGATCTCTATAATTATTAATTCAAACAAAATATAAAGAAAGCCACAGAATTTTACTAAAAAAATCTAAACCACATCATATCCCATCCCAATATATATATATATATATATATAATCTTTCTATCTCATCTGTTTGGATATATAAACATAATCATAAAATTATAATTATAATTAAATATTTTACTAAATAAGATCTATATCACCCATCATGATGCTATAAAAACTCAATTTCAATTCTTAGAACCAACTTTCTTCTTCCTTCTGATCACCATGAAGATGACAATAAAGAAAGCCATTATCAGTATTCTTTTATTATGTCTCGCTTTCATAACTGTCGCGAAAGCAACAAATGTATCACATGATGGAAGAGCTTTCACCATTGATGGCCAACGCAGAATTCTCATCTCAGGCTCTATCCATTATCCTCGTAGCACTGCTGAAGTAAGTATATAATGATTCTCTTTGTAATTTGAATCCTATTATATGTTTCTGTTGTTGTTTATTATTCATCTTCATCTCAAAACTAAAATGAATACAATTTTTTTTTAATCACAGATGTGGCCAGATTTGATTAGAAAATCAAAAGAAGGCGGTCTTAATGTAATTGAGACCTATGTTTTCTGGAATGCTCATGAGCCTATACGTGGCCAGGTTCTTATTAATTATATTATCAGCAAATATATTGCACTCAAATATATTCATTCAATAATGAGACTTTATTTATTTACTTATTTATTATTTTTAATTTGTGCAGTATGATTTTTCTGGGAATCTCGATCTTGTGAGATTCATTAAAGACATTAAAAAAGAAGGGCTTTATGCTTTACTTCGAATTGGTCCATATGTTTGTGCAGAATGGAATTACGGGTAATCAATTAAATTAAATACTATAATAATTTATATTTCATTAATTATAATTATACACATATATAATTCCATATATTGTATCTTCTGTTCTCAGAGGATTTCCAGTGTGGTTACATAATATTCCAAACATTGAGTTTAGGACAATGAATAAACCATACCTGGTAAGTATTATTAGTTCATTTGAAAATTTCAATTTCAATTCTGCTGAATAAATATATAATTTAACTTTTGTTAAATTATATATAGGATGAGATGAAAAGGTTCACAACTCTCATAGTGGACATGATGAAAAAAGAGAAGCTCTTTGCCTCACAAGGAGGACCTATTATTTCTGCCCAGGTTTAATTTTTAATTTATCTAAAAATATTGTTTGTTGATTTTCCTGTGTCTTTTTTTAATAAAAATATTATTTTTTTTGTAATTATTAACCACATTTTTTTCGTTTTTGGAACTTAAAAGATTGAAAATGAATATGGAAATATTATGGGTCAGTATGGTGAAGCTGGAAAAGAATATGTAAATTGGTGTGCTCAACTGGCAAGCTCATATCAGATTGGTGTTCCTTGGATTATGTGTCAACAATCTGATGCACCACAGCCTATGGTAAAATTTTTAATTAAATTAAAATATTCTGTTATATATATATATATATATATATTACAAATGATAATCTATTACAAGGTTAATTAATTAATTAATTTCTTTTTTTCTAATTGACTTCTTAAAATTAGATTAACACATGCAATGGTTATTATTGCGATAAATTTACTCCCAACAACAAGAATTCACCCAAGGCATGGACTGAGAATTGGACTGGCTGGTTAGTTCCTGATTTTTTTTTCTATCAATTAATTTTTGTATTTATGTGCTTAATTATATTAAAAACATTAATCTAACTATTTTAATTTATTTAATTTTGTTTGATTGAATTTTTAGGTATAAGAATTGGGGTGGCCAAGATCCTCATAGAACTGCAGAGGATGTGGCTTATGCTGTTGCAAAGTTTTACCAATCTGGCGGCACTCTCCAAAACTACTATATGGTAATTAAATTAATAATAATTTTTTCTTCTCATGGCAAGAAAGATATATCAATTATTAATTAATTATCTGATTAATTTAATTAATATTTTTTGTTTTTTTTTCCAGTACCATGGTGGTACCAATTTTGGTAGAAGTGCAGGAGGACCATATATCACCACATCTTATGATTACGATGCCCCTCTCGATGAATATGGTACAATAATATATACATAAATCAATATTTTCTTTTAAAACAAATTAATATATATTTGTTTATATAGTTTCGTAACTATTATTTTTTTATCACATTACTAAATCACTGAATAAATTGCTTTTAGGAAATCTGAATCAACCCAAGTGGGGTCACCTTAACCAGCTCCATCGTATCCTTCTAGCATCTGAGACAGCCTTGACATATGGCAATCAAACAACCACTGATTTTGGAAATATGGTTACAGTAAGTGATATTCTTTTTTTTTTTTTCATTTTTTGGTATAAGTAATATTCTTATATATATATATATATATATATATATATAAACTAAAAGTTTACGTGAGTTAGATTTGCTCATTAGCAAGATTTCACACCTCGGTAGCAGGATTGAAAAGTCATACATTGATTAGAATTGGGTTGGAGGGAGAGGTATATAAGTGAAAAAAAATCTATAAATTTAATATTTTAATGTTTTGAGTTAAGATGTGGTATCTCCAAATAGATGTGGTGTCATACTTGTATTCTCTTAAACTCTCTGGCATTCTAACCATGTTGTTTCTTCTCCTGAGATGTTTCTAGGCTCAACAAATATAAGTTTTATTTTTTTTCTTCAACTATCAATTCAGTTTTTAAATTTTGAATGTCTTTATAGTTTTTTTTTAGATTTGGAAAAATTTAATCTTCTTAGTTTGATGACTAGTACAATTCAGTTCCTATAATTTTTTAACTCAATAAACCACAACTACTAAATTACAGTAAGGTAAAGTTTAAGAACTAAATTAATAATTAAATTAAAGAAAGTTTAGGAAGTAAAAAGTTATATAATCCCATTTTACACAAATGGATAACCATTTTTTTTGTGTATATATATTTGTTAACAGGGCACGTCTTATGAACACATGCAACATTCAGTTTGCTTCCTGGGAAATGGAAATGAGTCAAGTGACGCCACTGTTAACTTCAGAAATAAGACTTACACTGTCCCTGCTTGGTCTGTCACAATCCTTCGTAATTGTTCTACAGAAATTTACAACACAGCAAAGGTACGTGGATATAATTATATTCATATATGTATTAGTATATAGAAATAATAATATTTTTTGAGACCATATATAACAAAAATAATATACTATGGGATAGTGATAGTTTTAATCTTTTAAATTTGTCTTGATTATTAATTTGATCTTTTAAATTTAAAATACTTTACACATTAGATTAAAATATTATATAAGGGACCAAATACTTTACACACACATATATATATATGTCAAGTCATTAAAATACTTTACACATTAGATTAATTTGAGAGTAAATTTGGTTTTTAAAACTTAAAAGACTAATATCATAATTTTAGAAAACATAAGGGACCAAATCAATGAAAATCAAACTTGAGAAATCAAATTAATAATTGAGTTAAACTTGTGGGACTAAAAATTTTACTATGCCTAATAATATTAACGAATTAATTGTTGAACTAAAGCTTGGGTTTTACGTTAATGTATTTAATTATCAGGTGAATACTCAGACCACTGTGATGATAAAGAAAGAAGAGCCACAAGAATTGAAATGGCAATGGAGAAATGAACCACCGCAGAAGAAATTTAAGGTTGCTACTCTGACAGTTTCAGAACTTTTGGATCAGAAGGTTGTGACTAATGACACAAGTGATTATTTGTGGTACTTCACAAGTGTTAATCTCAATAATAAAAGTGACCCTCTTTGGGGTAAAGATGATGTTTCCATCAGAGTCAACACTTCTAGCCACCTTATTCATGTTTTTGTCAATGGCTTACATGTTGGTACGTAACTTTATATCTATCACTCACTGCTTTATTCTTTCAAATTTTGACACCACAGACTAAAATCCTAATGTCTAGCTACTCCCTCTGGATATAACGTTATATATTACACTTTTTGAAAACCTTATTTAATCTAAAATATATGGCATTGTATAATTTTTGTAATTGTTTTACCACCTATAACCCTATTTCATTTATTACTTCTTTAAAAAAAATGATATTGAAATTTCAATGATCATTAAGCTAAAATGTGCATTTGATCCTCTAAGCTTATATAAAATATTTTTCAATACTTTAATCCTAATAGTATTAATTTAAAATTATTATTTTTTGTATCAATCATTGTCATGGTAAAGAATTAAACATAAAATGTCAATATTTAAAAAGATTTTGTCAATATTTAAAAGTTTAATATGAAATTTTTTGTTCATAAAACTAATGTTATTAGAGTTAAAAGACTGGAAAAACACTTTATAAAATTAAGGAATAAAAATGAAATTTTATATAAAGTTAAATAGCTAAATGTGCAATTTAGCCTTATCATTATTATAACACTTCTATGAGGGCATTTAAAAAACATGAATTAGTTAATATTGTATTATATTGTGGTCCAGAGGATAATATACTATTATAAGAAAAAGCTTATTGGAGCATTTAGATTCGGAATGTTTTTGAAGCACTCTCATAGGCCTTTTTTTATAGTAGTTTTATATTCTATCTCTTTTTTTGTTATAAGAGAAACTGTCATATACTTCTTTAAATTTTTTATTAAAAAAACTACAAATTTTCAAAAGCATTTATCACATTTTTTCTAAATTGTTCATCATAAATTAAAGTTTATTTTCACAAGAAAAATTGATTTCATTAATTACATGGATAATTTAGTCCAACTTTTTTAATTTTAGACAATTATTATACTTAACCAATTTTCTAAAACTGTGTGAGTTGATTATTATTTTCTTATACTTAAAAACAGGAAGATAGGGAGAGTGTGTGTATAGCTCGTAGCCTAATTAGAATATTTCTCAACCCAAAAACCCTAATTATCTATCATGTGGCTGGCAGGTGCTCAATTTACTGAAAATGGACACTATAAGTTTCAACATGAGTCGAAGATCAAACTGCGTCCTGGGAAGAACGAGATCTCTTTACTTAGTGGCACTGTTGGATTACCAGTAAGTCATAATATATCTATATATTATAAACAAATCACAGGTTGATTAAGGTTTTGATGTATGATTCTACATACAGATACAATTTGACAGTACCTTAATTTGTGTTTTGTTTGTGTGATGAATATATATATATATATATATATAATAGAACTATGGTGCATTCTTTGACAACGTGAAAGTTGGAATCCTGGGACCTGTTGTATTGGCTGCAAATGATACTACTGGTAAAGAGCAAATAGTTGATATCTCTAAGAATCAATGGACTTACAAAGTGGGATTACAAGGTCAGCTTGATAAACTCTTTAGCCTCCCAGAAGCTATCAAGCCTTGGCTTCTTTTTGGCCTTCCAAGAGACAAACCCATGGTTTGGTACAAGGTAATCAAAACTTCATCCACTTCAAAACACGCGCAGGAGCACTATAACAGTTTTATCTGATAACAACAACTAAAAATTGTAGTTAAAGATATGCAAACTGTTGTCTGAGCTTAAAGGCAATATTAGCAATACCTATTATTAGAACCGGTAATGCAGGTAGGGCGGACTTATTTAAATTGAGTTTAAAATACCTAAATATATAAAAAACTCATATAGCCAAGCTCAACTTTAATACTAGTAGAGTTTTTGGACTTATTTGTGTTAACTTGAATATCCAAATTGTTAAATATTATTTTATTTTATTTTATTTAATCAATTTCAATATTTATCTCTAAACAAAATTAAGATTTTCAATTTTTATCTATTTTAGTTTTATTTTATTAATAATAAGAAATAATTTAATTTTCAGGCTAAGCTTATTTAGTTTTAGGTTTGGCTAATATTTTTTTGAATTTATTTGGGCGATTCGAACAAGCCTGTAGTAAAAAAAAAATATTTAAGCTCTTAACCTTAGCCCTAAGATTTTTTGAGCTAGTCTATCTACCTTAGTCTAAATTACTGGCTCTATCTATTATAAAAGGTAGGAATTTTTCATACTTTATAGCTACACATTCCAAAAACTGTTGCCTATGTCATAGGATAATAACAATTTTCTTGAAGTTGGCTCCCATATATAATATATGGGAGTATTTCTAGACAAAAACGCTCCTACATCTTGAACATATATATATATATATATATATATGAGAGCATTTTCTAAAACACTACTTTCGTACCTATAGAAACGCCTAAAGCAGAAATGCTCCCGGAAGTCTATTTTTAAGCAGTAACAATAACTTGTTGGCATATTGTTATCCGTTTAGCGGTAAGATTTTGGGTTTGGTGTTGAACAGACATGGTTCAAAACTCCGAGTGGAACAGATCCAGTGGTTGTAGATTTGAAGGGATTAGGGAAAGGTGAAGCCTGGGTTAATGGGAATAGCCTCGGAAGGTATTGGTCTAGCTACATTTCTGGCAAGGATGGTTGCTCAGCACCTTGTGATTACCGTGGACCCTACAAGCCTAACAAATGCTTGATCAACTGTGGCAACCCTACTCAAAGATGGTAATTATTGATTAACCCTAATCATCTTCTTAATTTTCAATTCTATTTTTATGATCATTCACTGCATGTGTTTTGTGAATATATTACTCAAGCACCGCCACACTTTCCATGGAGAGATAGAAAGGTTTTTTTTTTTTTAAGATATATAGAAAGTGCATATATAGTCACTCTTTTTCTTTTTTCTTTATACTCTCCAATTCCACTAGGAGAAAATTCATATAAGTTCCCATCCATAATTTATAAATAATGTAACTTCGAATACAAGAGGATCCATTTGGGGGGGGGGGAGAATGACAAGAAGGTCCCCACAAGAAAGTTAATATCAAATCAAGATCTCATCAATCATAGCTTAAGTTCCCAAATTTTATTACTAATATTCCTATATTTCAGATTTGAAAGTCTTTTAAAAAAAAAAATACTGATTTAGCATTAACCTTCTTAATTATAAGATCTTTGGTTGTCATTCTCCCAGGAAAAAAAAAAAAAAAAGGTCACAAGGGTAGAGTGTATTGTAAATTTAAATTTTGTGCATAGAATTTTTGTTAGAAAAGCTGACTCTATGGCAAAGTTTGCTCATACTTTGACCACTCATAGCTATTTCTTTAACCATCCTCCATCTTTTATCAGGGAGGAGGAGGATGGGAAAAGAAATGAGTTCTTTGATGTAACTTGACTGATTGAGTTGTTTTGGTTTACATGTCCACTAGACCTCTTGTTCTTTCTTTATTTACTTGTATTTAAGATCTACTTGATCAAAGTTTCTACAAGTCAAAATCATTTGACCGATCTAAAAAAAATTCTCTAACATATATGGATCTGTATTTTTTTTTTTGGTGACAATCAAAAAGGTACCATGTTCCTCGGTCATTTCTAAATGGTCAAGGATTAAACTCACTGGTACTGTTTGAGGACAAAGGAGGGAATCCAAATGGGGTGAGAATTGGAACTGTGAAACCTGAGAAGATTTGTGCAAATACTTATGAAAACCACAAGTTGGACCTCATTTGCAACGTTGGCCAAGTTATATCTGAGATCAAGTTTGCCAGCTTTGGTCAACCCAATGGTTCTTGTGGATCCTTTCAACATGGTTCTTGTTCATCCCCACAAGCCCTGTCAGCCATCAATAAGGTATATATTTAATTAAAATTATTCAAGATTAATTATAATTAATCACATTATTAATTTAGAGCAATATTTATCTGTGCTTTAATCTCATTTTATGATTCTTGCAGCTTTGTACTGGTAAACAAGAGTGTTCTTTTCAAGTGTCTGAGGAAGTGCTTGGAGCTACTGGGTGTGGCAAAGACAAGCACAATAGGTTGGCTTTGGAAGCAATCTGCAAGTGAAAAAACAGATTTTTCAGTTAGCATAGAGCGTAGTTTTATCTTTTATCGTTTATCGGTTTTTTCCTTTTTCTTGATTTTAGTTTCTTCAATTTAATTACATGACATTTGGCCTTTATTAACTCAATAAAGTTCAGTATTTTATTTAATATATAAAGAAATGAGTTACATTATTTTTGGCATTCTCCCCTGCACTTCTTACTTTGGTCTATTTTATCCTCCTAAAGTTTTTAGATATAGTTGACCTGGTGATTAGCTTTTTCTAGGTTAATTTTGATACTCATGAATCCCTTCTTCCCTTTTATATCCCATATGGAATAAATAACCTTTTGAGCCACAATGATATTGTCTGCTCCATGTCAGCCTGGAACAAAGCTACATTGATTAGGAGAGATGATTGATTAGGAGAGATGACGTCTGATAAGAATTTCTTCATTCTATTAGAGATTAATTTGGTGATGACTTTATAGATGACCTTATAGAAGCTTATTAGGTCTTAGATCCTTCAAGGTTTCCGGTGGATCTTTTCTCGGAATCAACACAATCGAAGTTCCATTCACCTCCCTTATATATAGCCTGGAGATTTCCAAACAGAAATTTAATAAATTTAACCACACACTCACTTTTCCATCAGTTTTGATAGAACAGAGCGTCAAAACAATCAGGACCAAGTGACTTGAGATCCTCCATGCTAAAAATAGCATTCTTAATCTCCTCTTCATCAACATCTTTCTCGCATTCGTATCACTGAAACGAGAGAAGTGCACATCACATTGAAGGGTATGGCGTTCATACCGATCTTCTAAGAAGAGCGAAAAGAAATAAGACGTTGCAATACTCCTTTAATTTCATCTCCATCATACAGCCAAGTGCCATTCTCAACACATATGGAATCAATTCTGTTAATTTTCCTTCTTGTGTTAACCCTTGCATGAAATAATTTAGAATTCTGATCACCATAAACATTCCAATCCTCTTAAGCCTTCTGAGCCTAGAGAAGAGTGTCTTTGAATCATCAAGCCCTCTAACTCTTTCCATAGCTTGATCTGAAGAGCAGCAAGATGTTCCAATATATTCTCCTTTCCTGCTAATAGGTCTGTTAACACACCATCAATACGTTTAAGGAGCTGTTTCTTCCATGCTTCTGTATGCCCGAAGACTTCTCTATTCCACTACATACAATACAAGCTTCACTGAAAGAACTAATTCAATTGATGTTTCCATTCTTTACTAACAAAATCATCAAATTCCTCAAGAAGAACCCATGAAGCAAGAAACCGAAAGGATAATCGTCTCACAGTGACCGCCTCACTGCAATCAAGATCCAATAAAATAGGACCGAAGATGTTTTACCGCTGCATCCGGAAAGGCCGTACGTACTCCATTGAGCATTGCATAAGAATCTATATAGTCGAGCCTCTGATCTCTTCGGTTGCCAGGTGAAAGAAAGGCCTTTGATTAAATCCCAGATCCCCGTATACTCTCCATCAGACTTCGACGACTTATCCAACTTATCACTCATATCTCTGCGGTATTTGGCCCAGAATCTTCTGGCCTTCCTCCATTATAATTCGGGTCCTGTTACAACACAGAGAACGTGTTCCTTCTTGACTCCCCCTACGCCCTTGAAAGTTGAAACCACTCTAGCCCAACCCAGGAGGCTTACTTAATTTTCTTTTCCTCTTGGTTGGGTTTATTATCTAATGTGTTTTAATTTTGAAAAAAATTAATGGGAGAATGACAGTTAAGGACTCCCTAAGGATATTAATTTTAATTAGGGATCCTGAAAAATAGAAATCCCAAATAAGGACCGTGATCCTTAATGGGGATAAAAAAATATTGAATTGTCGAAAATGCCCCTGAGCTCAAAACAAAGGTACCGCACCTGAGAGAGCCCTATTCCTGCTCTGTTTCGGTGTCCTCCTCGGTTGCTCCTTCTCGTCGTCTGATAGAATACATTTGTTATCCACTTTTATTTGTCAATTAGGACCATTTTATTAATGATTTATCACCTTCAAGTGCACACATTGCATTAGATTTGGAACTTTGCCTAAGTTTCTAAGATCAGGGGCATTTTGGTTTAAAAAATGAACTTTTGAGAAAATGTACAAGAAAAATTGATAAAGTGCATTTTATGTCCAGTTGATGAATGGTGAAATTATATTTTTAAAATTCATTTTAGTTTGGGAGTAATTAAATAAAAAAATCAACACTTTCTTAAGTGTCTTAGTTTGTCCTAGTTTTTGGTTTGCCTTTGTGTGAAAATTTTTATATAATTTTGTGCAGCCTGAAACTTGGTTAATTTAATAAATTCTTCCTTCTAAATATGAATTTAATTCTGGACATGAATTAGATTTTATTATATCATATGCTATTTAATTGAATTATGTGATTTATGTGACATAGGTGGCATGTGACTTGTGCATCAATTGGGCAATTGAGGTCAACACTCCTTGAGGTCAATGGCTGATGGTTTGCACGTGAATTATGATTATTTTGAGGGATTAAATCAGCTAAAATGATGTGGATGACACATGGGAAATTAGGCACACATTGGAATCATCTACAAACCAATAGGAAGTTGCCACCTTGCAAGTGTGACAAGGCTCCCATTTACATTTTAATTTCTTTTTCCTTATTTTAATTAAGCTTCAGCTGATGGGAGACACCAAGGAGCACGCCATTTTAAGCCCCAAATGGGATCCAACACATATCTCATTCATCTTCCACATTCTCTCTCTCTTGTTCATAGTGTTCTTCATTTTCTCTCTTTTGTTCTTCATTTTCCAGCACCCTAACCTCCATTTTCAGCCACCAAACCTCCACAAAACTCATACCATTCTTCTCCTCTCTTCATTTTCGTTCCATCCCTTCCATTTTCACAAGGATTGAAGCTCATTTCCATCATTCAAGAGCTATGGAGTTTGGCCTTCACAAGCAATCACTAGGGTTCTTGAAGATGAAGATTGGCTAAGTTTCTTTATGGAATCCTAGAGAGATGAAGATGGAGGATGAGTCTTGAGCTTCAAATTGGCTAAGTTCTTTTGTTTCCTATCCTCTTCTCTTTTTACTAGATGGTTAGATTCTTAATCTAGGGTTTAATCATCTTAGCTTATAAATTCTAATTTGAATTTGATGTTGATGTAAAGAGAGAGGATTGTTTCATTTTATTTCTCCCTTGGACAGCCATGACTGAATTTTGCCACTTTGTTTGGCACATAATCTTGTGTTTTTCAATTAGTGAATTTCTTGTGTTAATATTGCATAATCTTGTGGTGTTAATGCTTGTGTTGTTGAGTAGCTTGACATAATCTTGTGGTTGCTCAATTTATGTGTTTGACCATGGCTGTTGAGAGAGGATTTTGAGTGAATCACTTGGCTAATGTCTTCACCAATTGGTTAATTGAACTAGGGACTTTAATCTAAGACCTAGGGAGGTTAGCTAATTAGGTTAATTGGCTTAGGATAATTTTCTTAAGTCATGACAGCTTTAGTCAAGAGGAAAGGAAGCTAAACTTAGCCTAATCATGAGAAGATAATGAGTCCAAAATCAACTAATCTCTAGGGTTCCATTATTGTGAAAAGGGAAGTTCATTTCACTCACTTTCACTAGCATTTTAATTACTTGCATATTAGTAATTAGCTAGGTAACTAAATTCCTACAAACTTTGGTTGATTTATTTCACTAGATAACTTTCAATTAGACTTAAAACCATTCCTTGGGATGACCTAGGGTTGGCCCTATATTGCATTAGGGTTAGCTTTAGTGTAATTTTGAGGATAAGCGACTAATTTCCTATCAAAATTTTGGCGCCGTTGCCGGGGAATGGTTTAAGTTTAATTCTAAGGTTGTTTAGTACTTAATTTACATTTTTAGTGTTCCTGAAAATTTTTTGAAAAATTATAAAAATTTTTTTTTGTGTTTTGTTTAGTGTTTTTTTGTGTTTTGAGTGTTTTTATTCTGTTTTGAAAAAGAAAAAAAAATTAGTGCAATTTTCGTTGGTTTGGTGTAGAGCTGAAAATACTCTGTTTCTAGTGTCTTGTCTGAAATTGAAAAATTAACTGGGAATGAGTCTGAGGGAATTTGAATGTGGAATTTATTTCATTGAAAGCTCTATATCCTAGCTTCACTTTAAAATTGGTTTGGTCAATTTTGGACGTGGGAAGTGTCCTGTGGAAATTTTACAATCTAACAAGGTCCAGGGAGCCATTACAGAGGATTCCCAAAACCCTGTTTCAACTTTGAGTTAGCATATCTTCCTCTTTGTGCGTTCAAATTGATTGATTCCAGTTTCATTTTTCTTATCGCTGTCTTATCTTTGTTTCTTGTGTTTAGGATTTTCTTCAATTTTTCCATTTTCCTATTTGAAAGTTTGTTAGAAGCTCTGAAGGTCTTCTGGACGAAATCCTGTTTCTCCAGACTTGAGGACCAACTTGTGAAAAATTCTGGGAACGATTGGGAAGGATTTTTAATCTAAAAGTTTTATATAATTTTTCTGTATATCTCTTGTGTTTCTCATAAAAGTTTCAGGGGAATTTATCATGTGGATTTGCTGATAGAAAATTCACAAGTTCACTGTCTCCAGAGAGCCTACTGTGCGAATTCCAGAATTGCCAAAGCTTCTTGATTGAGCATTTCTAACTCTCTTTCTACTTGTTTGGTGTTATTTTTTTTTCATTTTGTTGCTATTGAGTTTAATAAAAAAATAAAAAAAATTATTTCTCTTGCTTTTGTGTGTTTTGAATTGTTTCATGTTGATTTGCATTTTAGTTTAGTTTGTTCTTTGTTCTTAATTTTCTTGAGCTTGATTAGTGCATGACCCGAAGAAAACATACCTCTTTTGTTGAATTAGATCCAGAAATTGAAAGAACTATTTCTAGATTGAGAAGATCACAACCTATTCTTGATTCTCATTTGGTTTGTAATTCAACAATGGAAGGTATCTTAGGACATGAGCATGTGCATAATGAGGGCCATGGGAATGGGAATGAGAATTTGCATG